TTGGCTCATGGTTTCAGAGGTCTCAGTTCACAGATGACTGACTCTCCTGCTCTGGGCCTGAAGCAGGGCAGAACATCATGGCAAAAGGAAAGCAGCTCGGGACATGGCCCCCATGAAATACCGAGGGCTCCACTCACCAGGGACAATATATGTATGTACCCCAAAGGTGTGCCCCCATGCCCTACCTCCTCCATCCATGACTTATCTGCCTACAGTCCCAGTTAATTCATATCAGTGGATTAATCCACTGATTAGGTTACAACTCTCATAACCTAATCATTTCACCTCCAAGTATTCGTGCATTGTCTCACACATGAGTTTTGGGAGGACAATACATATCCAAACCATAACATTCCAACTCTGGCCCTTGAAAGTTTATGCCCATCTCATAATTCAAAATGTATTTAGTCCATTTTAAAGAGTCCCCATAGTCTTAGCAGTTCCAGCATTACCAAAAATTCCACATCCAAAATCTCTTCTGAGACTCAAGGAAAACTCTTAGCTCTTTCCCCCATTAAAGATCAAAAACAAATTACATTTATCCAATACATAATGGCACATAGAAAACATGTCCATTCTGCAAGGGAGAAATAAGGGCATGGAAAGAAGGAATGGGACCAAAGCAAGACCAATATCCAGTTAGGCGAACAAGTCCTATAGCTCTGTGCCCAGCATCTGGGGCACATGGCACTGGGATGTTCTCTCCAAAGGGCTTTCTTAGCTCTTCCCCTGTGGCCTTGCTGGTTACAGCTCACAAAACCTCTTTCTAGGCTTGTTTCTGCGGGATTCCTGCAGCTTTCCTGGCCTCCTAGGCCTTCCTTTGGAATCTTGGTGGAAATCTCCACTACCCCCTAACTCCAGCATCCTGCATTCCTGCAGAACCAGTACCATGTGGTTGACATCAATATCTACCACCATCTTGAGCAGTAGGCTGCCTCTCAGGACCATGGTCACAGCAACCTCTGAGTACTTGAGCAACTGAGCACAATGAAATAACTTCCTCGGCTTTCCCCTCCCCAGGTAAGAAGGGTGACTCCATGGTCTCTTCTCAAAGGAATTTTTACTTTTACATCCTTCAGCCTGAGATGGTTGTGGGCTTGCCAGTTTCTGAGATGCCCCTGAGCCATCTTTCCTGTTGTTTCTGGGGAAGGTACTTTGAGTGTTTTTAGTGGCTGTAATCTCTTTAACAACCATGCCTAGTTTCACATTCACTTTTCTGGCCAAATTGCAAGTTTTYCAAAATTTTCTGCTCCTGGTTATCATAGTAAACTTGGTTAAAAGCTGTGAATGATATCATGCCACTTTCTAAATGGCGTGCTGGCTTGAAGTTTTCTCTGCCAGTTTAATTAGCACATCACCTTTGAATTCAGCCTCACAGAGGTTTCAGGACGTGGGCAAAATGTAGACAACTTTTTTTGCCAGGATGTAACATGAATGGCCTCTATCCCTGTTTCCAGTACAGTCCTCCTTCTCCCCTCAGGCCCCATGAAGCCCAATCTTTTTTTTTTTTTTTTTTTTAATTTTAAAACAGAACAAATTTATTTCCTCAGAAAGAACATGTTCCACCTTTAAATGAGAAATATAAACAAAGAATATTCTAGCAAACAGGGATCTGACACAAGAAAATAGGTAGAAGTTCAGAGTATCAGCACCAAAGGCCAGTTCCAGGAAAACTGTGCAGCAGACCTTAAAAATATCATCACTCCCTCCATCAGCGGGTTGTGACATGAGTTCTTCGATTTCTTTTTCCAGTTCTGTACACCTTGATTTATCTTTCTGTAATAACATCCTTTACTTCTTGGCAAACTTGAGGAGATCTTCCTTGGGCAATATTTAGGGAGCCTGCTACTCAAGCATTCTCTTCACCTTAGATATCCCGGTCTCAACGAGACCACCCCAACCTGAACAATCACCAAGTGCCTATTAGACTAAATCACAGATGCATACTTGGTCCAGCTTTTTTGCCTCTGTAAACAAAACACCTGAAAAGAACAGTTTTTGAGGAGGAAAAGTTGATTTGGYGCTCACAGTTTCAGAGGTCTCAGTCCGTAGGGGGTCGACTCCATCGGTCTAGGCCCACGGTGAGGCAGAACATCACGGWGGAAGGGTGGGGAGGAAGAAGGCGGCTCAGGACATGGCCACCAGGAAGCAGAGACAGCTCCATCACCAGGGACAGAATATAAACCCCAAAGGCACAYGCTCCCAGTGACACATCTCCTCCAACCTCTCCTTACCTGCCTATAGATACCACCAAGTTAATCCATATCCTTTGATTAGTGTGCTGATTCAAGTTCTCAAAACCCAATCATTTTTTTCTGCATGGTCTCACACATGAGCTTTTGGGGGACACCTCATATCTAAACCATAACCTACCTCATAAGGACAACCATAATTTGTAGAAATAGAGTAGTTAGAGTTTCTAAGCAGAAAATGGAATTCCTTCACTCTTGTGTTTTCAAGATTCCTTCTTTAGTATGTTTTCTATGCCAGTCGCACAATTTTGCAGAGCAATATATATTTTCTTTCCTTCAATCCTTATGTTCTAGCTCCATCCAATTTGTGTACCTAAGTATTGGGTATGAGAAAAAAGCTCCTTGCTTGCTTGGTGCTCTCTCTGTGTTTCTTCACCTATACTCAAAATAAGCATTGAAATTCATAATCAGAATCTTAGGAACTTTTTCCTCTCCATTTGCATCTCAGGAGGTGAGGAGGTAACTTGTTTTTTTTTTTTTTTTTTTCAAGGTTCATACTTTTTAATGACTATACAATATTCCTTTGGGTAGATTGCCTTCATTTATTCAACCATTCCCCTATAATTGGACTTTGAGTAATGTTCAATTTTTAACTCTTAAAAATAACACTGTGATGAACACATTTGAGTGTAAATTTTTTCCATGTTTAGCTTATTCCCAGAAATAGATTTACCAAGGCAATAGGCAGAACAAATTGTCTTGGGACGCTGAATTTTGGTACAAATTGTTTTGGGTCACACACACACATACACACCCAAACACAAAAACAAAAATTAAAAAAAAAAATCCAAAGATACAGAGTTCTCACTGATGGAAAAAAATTAAAAGGAAATAGGTGGAGTGGCCAATGTCTGAAAGAAAATAATAGTAGCCAAGGAAGTAGCTGGTGAGTCACCTCCCCTGCTCTGGGGGACTGAGGTTAAGTCTCCTCAGGTGAAGAACTCAGCAGATCTGCCTGTGCAATCCTTCTTTCAAGCAGCAAACGCTTTGGTTTTCCTATGATCAAGAACTTGAACACCACAAGCCAGACACTTTTCACCTTCGCCTTGTTTTCCAAAATACAAGTTCCCTGTACAATTAACCAGCAGTTTTACATCTGAGGAACGGGAATCATTCGATCCCTCCTCCCACCTGCTTTCCACAGCCACCTCCAGCAGGCTCCGGGCTCCTTTCCGAGGGATGAAGGTCATGGCCATGACTTTTTTTCTGGCTGTCTCCAGTTTGAAGTGCCTTCTCTCTCCCAAGCTGCTTGATCCCATCTGAGGGCCACCTTGCTCAGATCTCCATCCCCCAGTTATAGAATTCTCTCTTTTTCATTATCTCTTCTTGCAAAAGTCACMTACAGGGACTTTCCATGGTGCTGTAGTTCTGCTTTCTTTTCAAGGGTCTGTTCACACTTCCCCACGGTGCTGGGACCAAGGACTGGTACCAGGATACCACCTCCAGTTTTCAGATAGGCCTCTTCACACACAGTCACTTCCCTGTTCAAGGTTTGTTGGGGGGTACAGTGGTCGGCTTTGGAATGAAAGTAGAGATGGAGCATGCTTCTCTCGTGCRGGCCTGTGACCACAGCTTGTTGGTGGTTCTGCAGCGATAAAACCAACAAGACAAATAATGCATTGCCCACTGGCCCCCTCCCTTGGAGACAAGACTAAGAAACAAAGGGGGAAGGTGGAAATGGTCTTTCTGGGTCTAGACTCCAGGACTGCTAGGAAGGGAGCAGAACAGAAGTGGGGGGTGGGGGAAGGGCACCTCATAGGGTGCTAATCCCAGCTTCCTGTCCGGATTTTCCTTGACTGCTGCTCAGGGCCTATCTTAGGATGGTCACAGCTGCCGAAATAGATCTCCCGCCTCACCTGTTCTTAAGCAATGGAGACCTTGCTAACTTCCTGTCAGAACAATGCATGCTTTGGTAACTGTTCCAGTATATGGGACAGGACTGGGGACCTCTTATCCACCTAAGAGGGGTAGCAACTCACACTGGCCAGAAAACAGGGAGAAAACAAAGGAGAGATAAGCATCTGGCCACCCTTTTTGGCCCCAGCCCCAGCCTCTTTTGCAAATCAGGTCAGTGTTTCCTTCCTGATCATCTTCGGAAACCACTCTGTCTGCAGAGGGCCCCTCTCCTGATTGACAGAGGGGCAAGGGGCAGATCCTGGGCTGTCTAGCTCAGCAGACCCTCACTCCAAGCCTGCGCACACAACATTCTCTATTCCTGCTGAACTCATCAGCTGAGTTTGAACTCTGGGACCAGCAAACCAAGGCTACCCAGCTACTCCTTCATTCATTCAACAAACATAGGCCCGCTCGGGTCTAGTAGTGAGGGTGAAGAAGGCCACAAGATAAAGGGAGGGAGGGCTGAGGTTGTGGCTCATCGGTAGAGCACTTGCCTAGCCTAGCACGTGTGAGGCCCTGGGTTCGATCCTCAGCACCACATAAAAATAAATAAATAAAATAAAGGTATTGTGTCCAACTACAACTAAAAAAAAACATAAAAAAAAAAAAAAAACTTGAAGACAAAGGGAAGTTTAAGACACGAAGTCTTGGGAACCCTGGCCTGAAGAAGGGCCTCCTGGAGGCCAGACCGACAGAGGTAGGACCCCGCCTCCTTCTGGGAGGAGGAGAGGAGGGCTGAGGGCAAGTCGCCCAGGGCAACTGCAGCCTGGGCGGGCCGGCGCAGGAGTKGAAGTCCTCCTCCCTTGGCGTCGCTGGCGTTGCCAAGGTAACCCTGACCCGCAGACGCTGGCCATGGCTTCTGGGCCGGGCGGGAGCTGGGGTAGCGCCGCACCGCGGAGTGCAGACCCTACGGTGAGGGCTGAGCCTGGGAGCGGAGCCTGCCTTTACCGGGGTGGGGACAGCGGCGCTGGGGAGCCGCCCCTGGAGGGGCTGGATTCTGGAGGGGATGCACGGTGGGGGTGAGGAGAGAGACCCCAAACAAGAGGAAGAGACTGGACAGGGAGGGAGAAGCAACCCATGGGAGGAAGGTGTTGGGGCTCCCGCGACAAGCCCCATCCCTTCCCACCTGGTCTGAGTCTCCCCGCCAATGTCCCCAGCCCTGGGTGACCATCCTGCAGTCCCTTCCGTCGGCCGTCCCACCCCCGCCCCCGCAGCCGGGCCGCGTGAAGGAAGGTGAGACTCCGGGTCACCCTGCTGTGCCCGCCTCTGTCCCCCACGCTCCGTGTCGGGGTCCGCGCTGCCTCACCTCCGCTTCCGCTGGGGGCTGGACTTCAAGATAAAGGCCTTGGGATCGGGAATGGGTGAGGGGTCGGGGCGGGGACATGGCGGGACCCGGGTACAGCCGGCTGAACTCTTGGCCCCTAGACTTGCTGGAGCTGATGATGCTGCAGAACGCGCAGATGCACCAGCTGCTGCTGAGCCGCCTGGCGGCGGGGGCGGCGGGGGCGCTGAGCCCCAGGTCAGACTCGCCCAGCGCGCAGGTGCGTGGGGCTGGGGCCACTGTCTCGCCCATCTGCAGGCCCTGGGTGATCCAACTGGGGTTTCTCCTGGAGAAAAAGTCCTGGGCGAAGAGGCAAGGAAAGCCAGCCCACACCTGAGTCCCTTTGGCAGGCATTTAGGTGTCAGGCCAGGTGTAAGCCTCCATGCCTGGAGGGTCCCCAAGACCACACAGATCTAGTTTTCAAAGAAGTTTCCCTGCAGTGCAAGCCCTGCCCACTTACAGGCACCGTGGACACTGTTGCCTAGCCTAGACTCCATCGGTATTTGTCCAACAAGTGAATGAATAAACCAACGGCTGTGAATACTGCCGGCTTTGGCATGGCTGGCCTAGGAAATGTAGGCAGCATGCTCACACCTGGGAGGGATGGGAAAGGGCCATCCCTCCTTGGAAGAGGAGCAGGAAGCCTGAGAACCAGGTTTTGAGAGCCGAGTAGGATTTTGACGTTGGTGAAGGGGGTGAGGGGTAAACCCACCCTCTAGGGTTGGGCAGGGGGACCTACAGGATAAGTGTTCCACATCACTGAGGGGCACAAGGCAGTTCTGGAGCTGAGAGTGAGGCCCAGCGCAGCTCAGTGGACTCTAGGCCTCCGCTCTGGAGTCACCTGGATTCTTCCAGCCCTTGCTCTACCAGTTATTAGCTGGGGGACCTTAGAAAAGTTGTTCATTCTCTTGGAGCCTCAGTATTCTTACCTGTAAAATAAGGAATAAATGTCTCCAAAGTGCCTTGCGTGATACAGTAAATGCTCAGGAGCCATGTTGAAAGTACATATCTGGAGAAAATAATGTAGATGAACAGAGGAGTGGGGGTAGGAGAGTCTGATCCTCTGTCACCATCTCCCCTTCCCCTTTGCACAATCCTAGGTCTACCTAGAGGACCAACTGGAAGAACTGCAGGAGGAGATGGACACTCAGGAGGAAGAGCCTTTGGTGTTCCACCACCACTACCTGCCCTGTTCACCACCACTACCTGCCCTGGGATCCCTGCCACTCTGGCCAGCCCCTTTCCTCCCCCCGCCCCCACATCAGCCCCTCTTGCAGGATGCACCTACGATTCAGCACTGGCCTCCTGCCTCCAGGAAAAGGGGGACGTAAGTGAGGCTGAGGTCTGGGCTCTATCAGGTTCCTGCTCTGGGGCCAGGCTGGCAGAGCAGGCCAAGGGGATTGTGGGGGAAGCACTGGAGGCCGCTGAAGGATCTTCTTTTCTCTCCCCATATCAGGAGAGCTGTGCCACCGCCCCCACCCCCCAGTGCCACAGGGACTGTGGGTGCAGATGTACCTCCTGCTTCAGGTAGGGGGCTGGGTAAGTGGGCAGTGGGAACCCAAGTCCAGGAATGGATGGGGGAGGCCAGGAGGGCCATGTGCCCTGTGTGGGCACTGATATGGGCACTGGACTGTCCCCTTCTGTTTTCCCTCCTTGGAGTCCACTGAGGCAGGAGGGAGGCAAGATGGGGGTGCTATCTCCTTAGACTACTATGATGCTGAGAGTATGCTGTGAAGATGGGTGCTCGTGGGGACCATGCCTGCTTCAGTGCAAGACAGAGAACAGCCTGGAAGCTTCCAGCTGCCCCTGTGCTGTCTGCCAACTCTGCAACCACGCTGACATCCTTTCTCACCATCTCAACCTCAGCCAGGCCCTCTCCTCCCTGGTGGATCAGCCCCTCTCCACCCACTGTGGGTTTTTAAAAAAATATATTTATTTTTTAGTTGTAGTTGGACACGACATCTTTATTTTATTTATTTATTTTATGTGGTGCTGAGGATCAAACCCAGGACCTTGCACGTGCTAGGCGAGAGCTCTACTGCTGAGCCACAACCCAGCCCTCCACCCACTGTGGTTTTTAACTGGACTGTAAGCACTCCTTCTTGCCCCTTCTGGGCCTGAAACCCAACTGCTTCCTGCCTGGACTTGGGGCAAACCCAGGTGCAAGAGCCCCAGGCCCACCCTTGTCCCTCACTCCTCCTTCTGGAATGACAAAGATGGTGGGGCTGCCTTTTGGGCCTAATAATGGGTCCAGAGAGAAGTGGAATGTTCTGGTTTCCCCAGATCTTTGAAGGCTGCCTTGAGGGAGAGAAGGGCCCAAAGTGGTAGGGGAGAGGCTAGTGGGGAAGACCCTGGAGCTGAGCCAGTTCCCTTGGGCCCCATYCTCACACAGTGGGAAAGAGAGTCAGAATTGTGTCCTGCTCTCACCAGGARTGATCCTAGGGGACCTTGGGCCAGGTGACAGCAGTGACTTTTGCCTCACAGGCCACACTGTTTCTCCCCCTCCCCCAGTAGGAATTCATCACTGGGGGCCAGATGGGGTTGGTGTCTGGGGMCTGAGCCTGGGCCAGCAGAGCCCTGGAAGGCCCCTGTGAAAGAGAGGACAGGAAGAGACTGAGGGAACCTGCAGGGGCAGAAGTCCGTGCCTGTACCTTCCCCTTCTGGGCTGTTGACTGATATCCCAGGAGCAGACCTGGAGGACACAGGGTTATGGCCSGGCGTTTGTATTCAGGCTCAAAAAGGAAATGTCGCCAGAGTCCTATGCTGCTGTCATAGTCCTTCAGCCAGGGCTGGACCACGACCCTGAGGAGCCATGCTGAGTTCCAGCAGCCACCAAGGCAGTGGCTTCGCAGCTCACATGTGCTGCACCCGGAAGACCTGGGGCAGCCTCCGCCAGGCAGCTCGCACCCCATAGGTGCCCATCCGCCTCTGGCGCCAGTGCTGGCCGAAGACAAAGCAGAGCAGGACGGACATCACAAACAAGAACAGCAGTACCGACACGACTGTGACAATGATGACCATCTGGTTTTCCGGCGGGGGCTCTAGGGAAGGAGGGGGTGGTGGTCTTAGAAGTTCTCAGGTGCTACCCATCAGCTCCACCCACTCATYCACCCAGCAGTCACCCTGGTTGTCAAGAGGAAGGGCACGTGGTGTCTTCTTCCAGAGTGGCTTCTAGGAGAAAGGTGACCCAGGCCTCAGACCACCAGTGGGACCTCTGAGACTGTGAGGGCAGATGTCCCCTTGCTAGCAGCTCCTAAGACCAGCTACGTGTAGCTGAGAACCATGGCTTAGAGGGTGGCATCGTGCAGACGAAGCCTCCCCAGGCAGGGCCCTGTGAGTTCTGGACAAACAGGCTCCCTGTTGACAGAGAATGCTCTAGCCATCGAGAGTCACGGAACAGCTGTGCCCCAGGGACCTTCCAGGTCAGGCAGACCAGCCTTCCCACTGCAGAGAGCAGCCAAGGGCAGCCAAGGGCAGAGACGGCACATTGCCTTGGTCAAGGTCACACAGTTCACGAACAGCCAAGCTACTAGTTGAGCTCTCCTGACTTCTGGAACAACCAGGGTTCTGGCTGGGGACTTGAGAGAATCAGGGAAGACCGGGAGCAAAGGGGAGCCCTCAGGATTACATGTGTGCCCCAATCTGCCTGAGAATGGGGCTAAAGGGCTAAGAGGGAATGCTATCTCCCTTCCCCTCTGCCCTTGGGGTCTCCTTACCATAGACTCGAAGGACCTTGTTTTCTGAGATGTTGCGCAAGACGTCCCCCCCACGAGACCGCAGGTCCAGCTCGGCCTGGCAGGAAAAGTTCAGCAGGCCATCCTCTTTGCTTGCCGTGCTGTTGAATGTGACTCTGGCCTCCTGAGGGTCGGTTGCTCCCCCACTGAAGGTCTGGCTGTGCAGGGTCTCCTTGCCACGGAACAGGGTGAGGGTGAGGCTCTCGAGGGGCTTCACATCGGGCACCCTACACTCAATAGTGAAAGGTTTGCCCAGGGTCACCCAGACTGGCTGCAGCTGCAGTATGATCTGCTTTGGAAATTCTGTGGGGGTGAAGGAGGGAGGCCTGGTCAGGATGGGGGTGTGTCTTCACAGGCCCTACCCAGCCAGGGCCATCTCCTGTCACTGTGGTGTTCCAGGAATTATAAAGGAGGACGTGGGCTGGGGTCTGGTTTGTGAAGAGAGGAGGAAAGAAGAATTAAGCTGAAGGATGTGCCGGGTGATAGATTAGTGGATGTGACTTGGAGAACAGACAACATGGAGGTGAGCTAGTGTCTACAAAGAAAAGGTCCAGAAATTGTACAGCTAACTGGAAAGATTAAAAAAAGTTTGGGTCTGTCTCCTTCCTCTCCAGTTATTAAAAAAAAAAAATTCAAAAGTTAAACAGCTGGACGGAGAAGGGAAGAGCTCACTGGCACTGGGCACTTGAGGAACTGAACTGCGAGGTTCCGTTCGGGGTGAGGACGGCAGACCAGCCTCGCTTCTCCAGGATCAGGTTCCYGACTACTGATGGGGCCTGTGGTGGGACCTGGATTCCACTCACTCCCACCCCCACCCAGCATCACCTGTTGGTTTCGGGACATTTCTCTGTTCATCTGGATCCTCTGATGCTGGTGATGGGGAGGACATCAGCGATACCCCCAGAGCCAGATGTTGAGAGTCCTGGCCTATCTGGAGGGTTTCCATGGCTCCTGGGCAGGTGTCTGTGGGTGATGGTCACCCATTTGCCATGGGCTCTCAGGGTAAGATAAGGACACCAAGTGGCACTCGACCTTCTTATGAGGTGAGAGCGTGCCCAGGTCCCCTGATGGTCCTCCACCGTTGTCATGGGGGCAGGCTGCACTGGCGGCTGAGCGGGGGCGGGGCTGAGGAACACCACATTGAGAAATGACTGTGGGATCTGCCTAAGTCCTGGTTGGCTGTGCTCCTTAGAGCAAGGCTCAGGACCTGGGGGCCTGCTGCAAGGATAGCAGGGGCTCAAGGAGTCCTACCCAGGGTGTGGGCAGATCTGAGCCCATTGTCCTGTCCTGATCCTGGTCACCCCAGGAACCCAGGGAGGTGGGGGCTGTGGTGGAAGGCCCCGGGGGCAGCACCCTGGGGACAGCAGGGCCTGCGCACAGCCACTCACCRTACGTGCTGACGTTGAGACTCTTTGACAGCTGCTCCCCAGCACAGGTGAAGTAGCAAAAGAGGACCGTGTCCCGGGAGACGTTTGAGATCCGAAAGGACTTCCACTGAGGCTGCTCCTCCAGCAGAGTCTTTTCCAGGGTGGTCTCCAGGCCTCCCATAACAGGGTTGGCACAGCTGGTGCTGCAGTTGACTGTCCTGGACCCTCCATTTTCTACCACCAGCCTCTCTGGCCATGTGTATACCTCGAATGCTGCCTCACTAGACTCTGGAGGAACAGAAGCATMGTGTGGTGAATGTCCCTGCTGCCCTGCCAGCAGAGCACCTGCCACCAGGAGTCCAAGGATAAGGGCYGTGGATGGTCCCTCTCCTCCTCTCCCAGTGCCCTCAGGCCTGTGGCTTCTTGGCTAGATCCCGGAGGCCTCCTCCCAGCCTCTGGGTGCTCCTTCCTCCCACCCCCTCTGCTCCTCAGCTGCAGATTGGCCTTCCTCAAGATCTTCTTCCATCTCCTTCAAGGTCCAGCTGAAAGCCCCCTCCTCCCTGACAGCCTCTCTGAGAATGGAGGTGAGCTCTAAGCTGTGCTCTCTGAGCCGTGGCCTGGGTCGAGCCCCTCCCTCCTTCCTTTCCTTGTAAACTCTTTTCAAACACGTGCTAGGGGCTGGGGCTGGGGCTCAGTGGCAGAGTGCTTGCCTAGCCTGTGGGAGGCACTGGATTCTCAGCACCGCATATAAATAAAAAAATAAAGGTCCATCGACAACTAAGAAATATTAAAAACAAAACAAAAACACCATCTGCTACGTGCCAGGCACCATGCTAGGCTCTGGGGACTCAKCAGTGACCAAAGTAGACCGAGAGCATTTGGATCCAGACCAGCTGGGCCAGCCTGTGTCCCATGCTCCCATCTCCCTTGCACGCTCCGCTCAGCCCGMAGCGTGTGGCATATGACGAATTGGCAAAGAGGGGCGTTGGAGGTGGGTTGCACTGGGTGTGAGTCGGAATTCGCCACCGGCTGCCTGGGGGCTACCTGTCCCTGAGCCTCGGTCTCTTCCTCATCAAATAGGCTAGTATCCCCTAGCTTGAAAGCACCTGGCCGACCATCCAGGGCCGGGGTGCTCAGCATATGGCAGCCACCTCCCTTCCTAGTCCCCTCAACCCACTGAAAGAGGTTTCATTTTCACTTTGACTACCATGGCCAGAAGGTGATGTCCTCTGCTGCCCCCTACGGGCCCCTAGGCCCCCCAGCATCCCTTCACCTCCTGAGCCCCCCACCCACCCCCACCATTCAGCCTCCACGACCTGCCATACCACACMCCCCAAAGCTGTGAGGTCCGTTCCACCTGGTGTCCAAAAGTCCAGGACCCTACCCACTGCCCAGGGCCACAGGGACCCAAGGACAGGCTGCCACAGTATCCTGTGCCCATGGTGGAATGAACCCCATGTTCAAAGCCTCAAAAACTACAGGGCCAGGACCTCCCCCTTCCTTGCCTGAATCCGGAGAGCGGGGCAACACCCCGCCCCGGCAGCCACGTGTCAGACCCGCTCACCTGAGCAGCAGAGCAGGGCGAGAAGGGCCGCGTGCAGGCCCCAGCGACTTAAAGAAGACATCTCCAGCTGGGTCCACGGGTTCCCAGGGAACAGCCGGGGGCTGTCTGGAGGGAGACGGACGGTTCAGCCAGGGAGCAGTGAATGGAGCCGCAGCCCCAGATTCCTAGCCTTCTGTGAGYTGATGACCGCATTTCCTCTCATTATCGAAGCTCCGGAAGCCACATGCACAGGCCAACTCCCGGGCCTCCAGGCCTCCTGGGTCCGCAGGCAGAGGAAGYTGGGAAACAGCTGATAAGCAGGGGAGGAACCTCTTCTTCCAAAGCCCCCTGCAAGAGTGGGGCGAGGGAAGGCAACACCTGTGTGTGTGTTCACGTGTGTGCACACGGGATCCCTGTGGACTGTGTGCACACAGCTGAATGAGGCCTCCAAGGCGCAGATCTGGGGAACCCCAAAYCCCACAAGACACTTTGTTGAAGTCTCCTCTGGGAAGAAAATATCCAATCAGGGCACCCGGTCACCACAGCAAAGGCGAGAGAGACCTGGGCTTTTTAAGGAAAACCAGGCAGGAATTTGAGGTTCCTGCAAATACCCAGCACGTGTATGCATACCCCTCCTGCTCAGCTTCCACCTTAAACCTGTCCCGACTCAGCTGATTAAGGGCCCATGTGAGGCCCAGAACCTTGGGAATCACAGCCTACAACAGTCCCCAGAGGCCCAGGCTCAGGAAAGAAGGGATCTGTGTGGCCTCAGCCTCCCTTTCTGGGCCCAGCCTGCTGACATTCCCTGCCTGCTCCAGGCAGGGTCTTGGTCTGGGGGGCTGGGGCTGAGGGGCTGCAGCCTACCTCTAGGGAAGCTCCTGCTCCCTTCAGGGGTCCAGAAGCAGGACACAGGTGAGGGCTGGACTCTCATGGACCAGGACCTTCCCAGGTGGATCTTGCTCTCCACATATCCTACCTTTGCTCTCCCAGTTCTGTCCCAGATCCCCTGGGACCAGGCTGTAGGTCCCCTGATTTCTCAGGGAACTCCAGTTGGGGCCTTTAGAACTGCAGACCCCAGCCAGGCACAGTGGCACACATCTGTAATCCCAGCAGCTCAGGAGGCTGAGACAGGAGGATCATGAGTTCAAAGCCAGCCTCAGCAAAAGTGAGGCGCTAGCACATGGCTGCACCTGCTACAGGTTGGTCACTGTCATAGCACTCCACAGTAGAAACTCATCAATCCCCTAACTTTGTAAGGTAGAGCACTGTTACTGTCCTTGTCTTACAGATGGGGAAACTGAGGCACAGAACAATTAAGGGACTTGTTCAGGGTTATACACGTAGGAGGGAGTGAAGTCACCGTGAGCGAGAGCCAGCTGTCTGGTCTGATGAACTAGAGCAGGAGGACGGTCAGGGGTTGGTTTCCCAGAGACCCTCAGGAAGGAGAAGAAAGACAGAAGGCCAAAGGAAATTTCTGGGCAAGTCTCTGGAACAACATATTTCTAAACAAACAAGAAGGAGGAGAAGAAGAAGGAGAAGGAGGAAGAGGAGGAGGAGGAGGAGGAGGAGGAGGAGGAGGAGAAGTGTCAGGGGCTAGATTCTTGTGTCAGGCTATTCTTTGAAGGAGAATTTCCTTCTAGCCCCTGACAGAGAAGAAACCCATAAACACTGCTGGGAACCAGAATGGGAACATAAGCACTGTTAGGTGCAGAACAGGCTGAACTACGTTATCTGCAGGGCAGGCTGAACAAATGTTAGCTGCAGGATGGCCCACGCACTCAAACCGCCCTCTGTCCTTTATCACTGTTTGCGTCAAAGCTGAACATTCAACCCCCCTTGTGCCAACAAGGCAGCTTGCAGACCCAGAGGCCCCGTTAGATTAGGGCTATAAAAACTCCCTCCGGCTGGGCCCCTCTCTCTCTTGCTTTCTTGCTCTCTTGTTCTCTTGATCTCTCTGTCTCCCTTGTGCGCACGCTCTCCTCCCTCCCTCCCTCCCTCCCTCTCTCTCTCTCTCTCTCTCTCTCTCTCTCTCTCTCTCTCTCTCTCTCTCTCTCTCTCTCTCTCTCTCTTTCTCTCTTGTGCGCACTCTCTCTCTCTCTCTCTCTCTCTCTCTCTCTCTTTCTCTTTCTCTCTTTTCTCCTCTGTTGCACTGCTGCAAAAAGATCTCTTGGTCGCTCTGAGTGTTGTGGTCACTTTCAAGCACAAGATGAAAAAGAAGACGATACAAATTCACACAAACACAAAGTAGAGGGGTGGACGGCAGGGGCTGGAGAGAAGAGAAATGAGAGTTGTTTAATGGGTCATTAGAGTTTTGTAAGATTGATTCTGGAGATTGGTTGCAAAACAATGTGAACATATGTAGMACTACTGAATTGCGCATTTTAAAATGGATAAGTGGTACATTTTATGTTATGTGTACATTACCACAATTAAAAGTAAAAAAGAAGACTTACAAGGTTTGTATGCCATGAAAAATGGAACCAAGYAGACCAAATCTTAGAAAAAAAATATATATGACTTGCCAGACATAATTTAGGAAGAAATAAAAAAAACTGAATGGTTCTGTAACCCTTAAAGATACTGAATCAGTGATTTAAAATCTTCTCCCAAAGAAACTGCTGGAAGCTGGGCACAGTGGCACAGGCCTGTAATCCCAGGTGTTTGGGAGGCTGAGACAGGAGGATAGCAAGTCTAAGGCCAGCCTGGGCAACTTGGCAAAGTGCTTGCTTGGCACATTCAAGGCCCTGGGTGCCTGTGATGTCAGAGCCGAGCTGGGTGCCCAGCAGTGGAAGGAGAGCCCAGGAGCCAGAGCGGTTAAGTTGGAAACTCGGCCTGGTGCTCTGAGCCACATCCTCTCTGATCTGAGCCTTCTGCTGCCCCTGTCCCCTCCCTCAAACTCACACCCTTACACCTCACTTCTTTTYGCTTTGTGCCTCCGGGCCATGCTGTGCTGTAAGAGTCATTTATCTGACTGTTCCCCAGATAAATGGAGAGTTGAGGTCCCTAGGATGCGATACCCAACCAGGGGACAGCAGCCCGTGGAGACAAGCTGCGCTTCCTTCCTGGTGGTGTCCAATACTGGGAGGGTCAGAGGTCCAGCAGAACTGACCCTTTTGCAACACAGTCTGGCTCCTTTCAATGGGCTCCTCCCTTCCTGCCACTTCCTCCCAGATCCTCCACTAAGCTTCCTGGAGTCATCTCCCAAGTAACCTGCCTGATCCCGAGGCCTTGTTCCAGGATCTGCTTTTGAAGGAGTCCACTCTAAAACCTTCAGATTTAAGAGAGAAAACATATTTGGTCATATATATATGTATATTTATTTATTTATTCTGGGAGTACCAGAAATTGAACCCAGGGTGCTTAACCATTAAGCCACATCCCCAGCCCATTTTTTATGTATTTATGTATTATGTATGTATTTATTTATTTATTTATTTTTGAGACAGGGTTTCACTAAGTTCCATAGGATCTTGCTAAGTTGCCGAGGCTGGCTTTGAACTTGTGATCCTCCTGCCTCAGCCTCCTGAGCTGCTGGGATTACAGGTGTGTTCCACCATGCATGGCTTATATGACCATCTTAACAGATCCCAAACCAAAAAACAACACACACAAACACACACACACAAATATGCTGAAGACATTCAACTTTTTTTTTTTTTTTTTTTTTTTTTTTTTGGTACCAGGGATTGATATGTGGTGCTGAGGATCGAACCCGGGCAGCACGCATGCCAGGCGAGCGCGCTACCGCTTGAGCCACATCCCCAGCCCCCTGGTTTGTATTTTATTTAGAGACAGGGTCTCACTGAGTTGCTTAGTGCCTCACTTTTGCTGAGGCTGACTTTGAACTCGGGATCCTCCTGTCTCCACCTCCTGAGCTTCTGGGATTACAGGTGTGGGCCACCGTGCCCAGCTCAACACCTTTTCTTGATAAAAGCTCTTAGAATATTAAAAGAAAAATATACTTAAAACTTATATATTTTAGTTCAAGGTGTAAGAATTAGAAAAGAGCAAAACCATCAGTATTAGCATATTATGATGCCTAGATAGAAAAGTCCACAAGAATCATCAGGCAAATGATTTAGCAAGGTGTGTGATTTTATGTTTTTATTTTTTAGAGAGAGAGAGAGAGAGAATTTTTAAATATTTATTTTTCAGTTTTCGGTGGACACAACATCTTTATTTTATTTGTATGTGGTGCTGAGGATCGAACCCAGTGCTCCGTGCATGCCAGGCCAGGGGCGCTACCACTTGAGCCACATCCCCAGCCCGAGGTGTGTGATTTTAGCTAGTTATATGATCAATATCCAGAGATAGTTGCTTTTATGTATATCTGTAACATACAAAAATGTAACTTTAAAAATATGTCATTTATAATAGCCAAACAAGGAACAGGAATAAATCTAACATCCTAGACCCATAAGACCTGTGGTAAGAAAATTATAAAACTTTATTGAAGGACATTAAAGACAACAAATGAAGAGATAATCCATGTTCATAGGTAGGAGATTCAATAGTATAAAGATGTCAATTCACCCCTAACTGATATACAGATTCAGTGCAATTCCAGTTAATCCCAATAGGCTTGTTCATGGAAATGGAAAGCATATAATAAAGTTATGTGGAAGAATAAAAAAACTGACAGAGGACTAACGTCCGGAAAATATAAAGAACTAAAAAAAAAAAAAAAAAAAAATCTGGGCAAGGTGTTCAATGCCTGTAATCCTAGGGGCTTGCAAGGCTGAGACCAGAGGATTGCAAGTTCAAGGTCAGGCTTAGCAAATTTGTGAGGCCCTAAGCAACTTAGTGAGACCCTGTCTCAAAATAAAAAAAATAAAAAAGAGCTAGGGATTAAGTAGCCCAATGGGTAAGTATCCCTGGATTAAATCCCCAGTAGAAAGAAAAAAATTTTTTTTCAAAAACTTACCAMCAACAACAACAACAAAAAAACCCCAAATAATCCAATCTATAAATGTGAAAATTAAAATGAACTAAACAGACATTTCTCAAAATAAACGCAAATGTCCAATGAATACATGGAAAAATGTTCAACATCTTTAGCAATTAGGGAAGTACAAATTAAAAGTACACTAATAGTCCATCTCACTGTAGTTAGAATGGTAACCATCAAGAATACAAAGAGAGCCAGGTGCGGTGGTGCACGCTGTAATCCCAGCAGCTTGGGAGGCCGAGGCAG